GGTTTGGAGAGGGGGAGGCTGAGGGGCCCTTGCTCTCCACAGCTTCCTGAGGAGGGGAAGGGGAGAGGGAGGTGCTGAGCAATTCTCCTTGGGATCCAGTCATGGGATGTGTGGGAATGTTTCAAAGCTGCACCAGGGGAGGTTTAGATTGGACATCAGGGAGCATTTCTTTACTGAGAGGGTGGTCAAACACTGGAAAAGGTTTCCTAGAGAGGTGGTCGCTGCCCCAAGCCTGTCAGTGTTTTAAGAGGCATTTGGACAATGCCCTTAATAACAGGCCTTAACTTTTGGTGTAGGTCCTTTTCAACTGAACTGTTCTATTCTATTCTCTATGTGCATAGCTACTTCCTAAACTAACAAGAAGCTAGAGCTTGTTAGCCACTGATGTATCTGAGATGACGACTGCTAAGACTTGGTGCTATTGCAGCCAAACTCTGGATTGGGTCTCTAGATAACAATAATCTTTCAAGCTATCTATCTGTTGCTGGGTACAAAGCTTTCATCCAGCTACAGTGTAAAAGTCACCCCTGTGATACAAGTGCTGACAGATCTCAGCTTGCTTCTGTTGTAGATGGGGTCTCTTCAACAGCGCTGATGAAATGGGCAAATAACTTCAGGTCAATTTCTGAAGTAAACTGATTGCTAATAGCAGCACCCACAGAACTAAAACAACAAAAAAAATAAAGGACATATTTCTTTCTTTTTTTTTTTTTTTTATCCATTCGCTCTCCATCCATAACAAAAGGATTTCAGTTGTATGTTTCTAATTGAATCAAAAGAAAAGAAGTCACCAAGCAAGGCTTCCTGTAGAAATCTCCAAACTTTCCTGACACTCCATGAGAAGTAAGCTGCACATACTTTTTATGCTGATTGAAACTTTAAATATTGGAAATGAATGCTTATTTTTAGTATCTATAGAAGTGTTTTTAATTTAAATTGCCTCTATGTTGTCACACTTAGAATAGCACAACTTTGATTTGAGAGAGTATTTCTATATAATATGAGCAAGAGACTTGTCATAACTTCCACCGTTGTCAGAAGAGTAAATATGTCTTTTTGGGTTTTGTTCTAGGGAATTCACTCTCTTAACTTAAAAGAAAATGTCTACATCTAACATTGCAGCAAGAGTGGAAACTTGGCTTTCATCGACGTGGCATGTTAAAGTTCCTTTGACATGGCTGGAAGCATGTATTAGCTGGATCCAGGAAGAAAATAGTGGTAGTAACTTAAGTCAAGCTCAGATTAATAGGCAGGTATTTGAGCAATGGCTTCTTACGGATCTAAGAGATTTGGAATATCCCATTTTGCCTGACTGCATCTTAGATGCTCCCAAAGGAGAGTTGTCAGGCTTCTACGCCATACAGATTGATTCAATGGTTGATGTTAGCCAGCCAGCATATTCCCAGCTGCAGAAGCTAAGAGGGAAAAATACCATAAATGAAGAAGTAACAGCCAGTACTCAGGCATCCCAGAAGCCCTGGGAAGCAAAGCCTACTCGAATGCTGATGCTGCAACTGACAGATGGGATACACCAAATTCAGGGCATGGAGTATCAACCAGTGCCTGTCCTCCACAGTAATCTTCCTCCTGGAACAAAAATCACTGTACAGGGTAATATTGCGTATCGTCTTGGAGTCCTTCTGCTTAAACCAGAAAATGTGAAACTGTTGGGGGGTGAAGTGGATGCTCTTCTGGAGGAGTATTCTCAGGAAAGAGTCCTTGCTAGATTAATTGGAGAAACTGAAAACCCCAACGCTGTTGGACAAGCTGGTCATGACCAAATTGTTTCAAGGCCTGTGGATGAATTAGAACAAACTCTAGGCCCTTCAGATGAAGAGCTTTTAGCTAGTCTTGATGAAAATAATGAATTTACTTTAAATAACAAAACTACTTTAGAAAGTGGATACTGCAGTAGAAGCAAAAATTTTAGTACAGTCTCAAGTTCACTGACTGCCCACAATGGAAATGTCCTGCTACAGGAATCTGGAAGTCCTTTGCCTCATTCAGATGAACAAGTTTCACCTCCCATTGAATACGGTGATGGCTTTTTAAATGACTTCCCTTTAGAAGATGACTTGCTTCTGGAAGAAGAGGTGCAAAGACAGCTGGAAGAAGTGCCACCAGTGGTCATGAACAGAGACATAGGTTTAATTACTGAGAGACTTCCATATACATCTAGAAGCTCTTGCAATTCATCTTTAAATGGCACTTGCGAAGATGTGAATAAAAGAGATAAACCTGTAGAAGCTACCAGCAAGCAAAAGACTTTTGGAAGAACAGTATTTGATGGAGATAGTATGAGTAGCTTTTCACAGCACAAGAATGTACATCAGACCTGCAATTCTGCAGATTTTTCTTCGGAAAATCCTCCTGAAGAAAGGCAGAATGATACAGACCTAGATGAGAGCAGATATAAATCCCAGAACACTTCTGACATCTGGCTGTTAAATGATGATCCTGTACTTTTCTCAAAAATGGATCCAGAAGCAGATCAGCAGAAGCATGATTCACAGACCTTTCCTTGCAGAGCAGCAGAGGCATGTTTAGATTTAGATTCTCCACCTTTCACGTATATTTCCCTTCTCCTGGCAAAAAAAACAGATACTGTTACAATTCTGAAAGTTAAGTGTTTTCTTGTTACTCTCACTGGAAACCTCACAAGCAGCAACGGGTCCTGGGGTATTAAGGCAAAAATTTCTGATGGTTCAGCTTATCTTGAAGTAGATTTTGCTGATGATATTCTAACAAGTTTGATTGGCTTTTCAGTGCCTGAAATGAGTAGGCTGAAAAAGGATCCAGCTTTGCATCCAAAGCTTAAGGATGGTTTAGAGAAATGTCAAAAGGAACTGATAGATCTCTGTTGCTTGATGACTATAGAGTTTAATCCACTTCAGTCTAAAGCCACTGTATTAATTCTCCAGGATGCTGATGCAAGGCATCTAGACCAATTGAAGAAACGTTTGAATAAATAAAGGGTGCAAACTTGCAGACTGTATATTAGGAAACATTTGAAGGACTGTTGAAAGTTAAATTTTAAAGTTAATTGGTATGCCTTTTATCAGGAAAAATGATGGAAAAGTGAGAGGAGGAGATGACTTGTTGGAGTGAAACTTAGCAGTTTGGGTTTTATGGTGATAGTATTGAAATAAGCTTTCAAATATTTCTGTCTTGATTTAAAATACTCATGTATCATTTTCATTCTGCAAAATCCTCCACGTCCTTGACTGGTGACCTGGAGTAGCAGAATTTGTCAGGAAATGGATAACAATGAAAATGGATAAAAATGAAAAAAATTGTTATAGTTTTTCAAGGATGATTACTTACCTGATTTTTAAAAGGTAGCTATAGGAGACTATCAGTCTTTTATTGGAGGAAAGCAGTTGAGTAAATTTAAACGCAGAATTATTGTTTAAATGCAGTCACTTCTGACTACGCCAACCTGAAAACTCGAATACATATTCGGTGTGCAAGAACCTGAAGTATAGAGAAATTAAAGATTTACTTCTAAATGTTGGGGGAGGGGGGGAGGAGAAGGAACCCACAACCCTATACATAAATGCAATAAAAAGCTGTATATTTTAAAAAATTAAATAAAAAGGCCAAATGTTTTAAAATTGCTTATTATCAGACAAGAATGATTATAACGTATAGGGAATCTATTTTTGTCAGGTTAATGTTAATTATAGCTAACAGTTTTGAACCCACAGGCAACCTTATTCATTAACTCATGATTACTTGTCTAACCTCTTCACAGTGTAGTCAGATACTTGTGCTACAGACCTATTGTATATGTATATTTAATGTTGGTCTTAATTTTTATTGTTTTTTTTTTAATTTGTGCTTTTAGAATGTATAAAAATAAATATATTGATGTTTTCATTTAAACTTTGGTGGAAGCTGTTTAGTCACTTTAAAAGAAAAATATACGCCTTGTTGAGTGTATAGAGTACCAGAAATTATTTGATTGGTATTTTGTTTTTCCTTTTCCTTCTTCCCATTCTTTTCCCTTCTCTTGCTTTTTTTTTTTTTTCTCTTTGAAATTAGAAGAATTAAAATTCTGCCAGGGGTAGAGGACGAACAACAGGAGAAGTCTGCGCAGCGTTGATAGCGTTTGCAAAGAATGTGAAATTGGGAGCCAGGAGAGTGATTTTTCAATTGGACTGTCAGTATCTTTTTTCAGAATCTTTTCTTTCTCTGAACAATGTCTATTAGACTGTTGGGAATTTATGTGAGAGACGGTCAGTATTGTCCTACTGCCCCGTCCCCAATTGAGAAGCATCCTCTGAGACTTCAAGTGACCTAAGGAAAACTTGAGGTAATTTGCTAAGTAAAATAAAAACGGAGGATGGTGGAGGAAGGGGAATCTTGAGCTTTTTCAGGCTCAAGGCATGAGCTTTTTTAGGCTTCTAAACTCTACAGTTTAGAAATGCATAAATCCCCCTGTCCTTTTCCTTCCTCTCCTTTCCCTCCCCACTCTGAAGCGAACCTGAGCAAACCATAACCCTGTGTTTCACCTTTGGGTTTATTTTCTGAGACTGTTGGGAATTACACATCACTGGCAGCTGCAACAGCAAAAGTTTTTGCCTGTGTGGAACCTATGTTGCTGGATCTTCAGTTACAGTCTCAGAAAAAATTGCTTGTTAGTAGGAAACTGACCAAGCTTCATCTCATGTAATGTAGCTGACTGTAAACCTTTAGTGCAGTTTTATGGATACATTTGTTTTATGATGAGTTATGGAAACTTCCTTTAAAGTTTTGGCATTACCATGTAAGAGGATAGGAGCCCTTAAAGTTCAGGCTAAATGAATAATCCACAGATTTTATTCTACTTGTGCAAAGCAAAAGGAATGTCATTCAAAGCACAGAATCTAAGTGTTGTTTCAGCTGATGAAGTCACACCTGCCCTTGTTTTTCTACCTTTGTGTTAAGGTTTAATCATCTCTGCTAAAAAGTTCATGTGTCTTCCATCCTCTTCTCCCCTCCAACCCCTCATTAAAGGTACTGTTCTTTGTCTGACTTCCACCCACCCACTCCCCCCTGTTGTCCTTGTCTTCATTTTCAGGATGTTCTTCCTGGAAGGCTACTCCTCTGCCCGTTCTCCAGTGCAAGGAAGAAGGTAAATCTCAGTTCTGCTGGCTGTTTAGAGCTTGACTGCTCTGTAGATATTTCAGTGCAATTTTCTGGTGTATAATGATTCCAGATCTGTGTTTAAGCTTTCAGAATTCATTAAAAGTGTTGCGTAGTTTTCCAGACAAGAAAAGGAATGAGGAAAGTGATTTTGAGAAAGCATGCTTAGTTAAGAACAGTATGTCAAACAGAAAATGGCATATGTGGCTGTGTGTACAAGTTGTTGGTTCATGCCTTAACCACTTTATTGGCTCTCAGAACCAACTTCTGTGTTACTCATCTTAACACTGTGTGTATGTATTGTGTCTGTGTATATTGCCTCAGTGTGCCAAGCAGAGGTTCACGTCGCAGTCCTTCAGGTAATCTGAGTTCTTATAGGCTGAATTCGGAGAACAGGCTGCAGCCCCAACTGACAGTGGGAGTGTCCTAGAGGAGGGGTACAGCTGGACTCCTGCTGGGGAGCACAACAGAACTCCCGAATGAGCTACTTGAAGGCACTTGTCATGGCATCTGCTCTCAGGAGCAGGAACTGCTTTCTGTCCTCTCTTCTCCATGCTATTTTACAAACTCACTTTTTCTCTTTCAGCTGCTAAGCAGAATTCTACACCTGCAGTGTGTCTGACTGTGTAGTTTCAGAAGCTGTATTCTTCAGGAATGTTTTCATATTCGTGGGAAAAATAAACTGCATTTTTTATTGCTGATCACAATGGAAACTTCCAACGAATTCAGTTTTAAAGTACAAAACCTACAATGTTCTCACACAGTGACTTGGATGTTGTTATATTAATGATGAAAGTTTGCTCTTCCTGCCTTTCTTACAGTTATTAAAGAAAATTATAATAGTAAATTGGCTACGGCAATGCCAGGTACCGGCATTGGAATATCCCATTTAAAAGCTCTGTCGCTAAGGCAAGGTAATAGAAAAAAGAAAGTTCTCAGAAACTTTGCTGTGCCCTACTTCCTTTAAAGGTATTCACTCTCAAACTGTAGAACAAGGCTTTGGCTGGACTGAAGAATGTGGCAGGTTTCCAGATAAACTAGGCTGGGCAGGACTAGCTGAATCCTACTGGATGCTAGTTTTGCCACAACAATGGATGTCATTATAACCCAGTAACTTCCTTCTTGTTGCCTGAAGACAGTGTCCTAAGGAAGCAACAGCTAGTCAAAATAATGTCATTTTAATGTATCAGTTAGGAATGTTAAAGGATTTCTTAAAGGATGTGCTGTACTGCACTAGTACTGTGACTTCACACCAAAATTTATTTCAGGTCATATCAGTAGGAGAGATTTTCACGGCAGCTGAGTATGGAACATGATTAGATAGAACAGTAAATGTAACATTTGGTTCTAAATATAAAGCCCTATTTCTCAATGTATTGCTATAATAATGTCAAGCATTTCTGTTTAGAATAAAAAGGTAGTAACTTCAAGCTTTTTGTTATAAGGAAGTAAGAGTGATTTATAGTACAGTACTTCTGAGTTATCTGGTGGCAAGCAAGCTTAAATGTATTTACTTGGGAGGAAAGGGCAAAAAGGACTTTAAGATGTAAATAGTACCTCTCATTTCATATCCAATTCTCTCCATTATGGTCCTAGAAGGAACAGAATGCCAACAGTAATGACAGCAAATGAGAGGTTAAGGGCAGCCTGACATTGCAACCCTTTTTAATTCAACAGAAGTAGAGGTTTCCTACAAATCAGCTTCTCATCTAAATGTATGCGCAGCATACTTTCGTATCAGCATGTCACTTTAAAATCTTTTTTTCCTAAGGACGTTTTTTTTCCCCCTATTTACACTGGGTTTTCTAACAGAGCGAAATCACAGTGTGTTGCTTGTCAGAACTTGTCCTGCTTTTGATTCTTAGCCTTCTCTTAAGGCTGAACAAACCCCGCTCTCATCCTCTCCAGGGAGCGGCATGTGCTCCAGCTCCCTGACCACCTTGGCAGCCATCTGCTGGTCACCTGCTTCACTATGTCTGTGGCTTTCTTATGCTAGGGAGCACTGCAGAGGACATGGCACTCCACGTGCAGGCTCACAAGCATTGAAAGCAGAAGGTGCCTCGCTTTCTCAGACGTGCTTGCTGCTCTGATAGAGCCTGGTCTGAGGCTGGTCATTGCCACTGCAAGGTCACGCTGCTGACTTACTTAGGTTCAACCTGTTCACCAGGGCACGCAGGCCTTACTCTGTAAAGCTTTTTAACTGGCTGGCACCAACCCATACTGTTGCGTGGGGCTACTTCTGCTAAGCCAAATGACTTTGCATTTGCCTTTGAATTTAAGGTTTCTATCAATCTGTGTGTGCAGGCCATATCATACTGATTTTCTAGCACTAACTGCTTTCTTTTCTTTTCTTCCCCCTGCCCCTCCCTGCCATGTCTGGTAGGTTCTCCCCTGCTTGCCCCATATTACGCAGTCAAAAACCTCTTCCTAGAGGGAATCAGGTTGGGCAGATGACTTGCCATTGATAGACCCGTGCTGACTGTTCCCCATCACCACCTCCTTCACGTGCCTAGGTATGGATTCAGGGAGGACCTGCTCTAACCCCTGGGACTGAGGTCAGGCTGTCCAGTCAGTAGTTCCCTGGATCCTCCGCCCTGAAGATGGGTGTGACACTTGCCTGTTTCCAGCCATCAGGGACCTCCTGATTGCTGTGACCTTTGCAATATCGCAGAGAGTGGCCTTGTGGTGACATGAGCCAGCGCCCTCAGCAGCACCCTGTCTGGTCCCATGGAGAGTTGTGTGTGTCTGCAGGGTGGGTAAAGCACTCAGTTTTCCCCAGGAGGTGCTGGTACATAGGATCTCAGTAAGAAAGACACATGGACTCTGTAAAGTGCCATTTAAAATGCTGGTTATTAGAGCTAACACTTTTGGATACAGGCAAGGCCACACAGATGGGCATAATCTCTGGTGCCCAGCAGGAGCTGCCCACCGGTTCCTCTGGCACCATATGTGTCTGGAGCTTGTCCCATGGCCAAGGGCTTTGTGCAGCCCATGCTGCCTGAAGGCCATGCTGTGTCTGCTCAGGTTAACCGTGGTGTGGGTCACTGACCCCTCGATGTGCAATGGTCTTCTGGTCAGGATTGCTGCGCTCCCTGTCCCATCTCCTGATGTGGGTTGTACTACCTTTCTGCAGATGCTCGTAGTAGGCTCGGGGAAATGGGAGGCCAGAAAGCAGACATTAACTATGAAAATCAAGGTAAAAAAAAAAAAAAAGCATTGAGGCTTTCCCATGTCTTTTGTCAGTAGGTCCCCTCTCTCACTGAACAATGAGTCCTTTTTCCCTCAGTCTTCCTTCTGCTCCTGATGCACTTACAGAAGCCGTGTTTGTTGCCCTTCTCATCCCTATGTGTTTGACCTGTGTCTCTCTATTTTTCCTGAAATTC